CCCTTCTTGCATCTTATGTCAACTGGAAGATGTCAATAGTTAACTCCCTAACATCAAGAATAGGAGCCACCCACTCCACCCCACACCCCAGCTAGGAGACTGAATGCCTCCTGTTTCTGGAAGGTGTGGATTTGGTATCTTCCATGTTGTTGGTAGAATTAGGGCTATCAGATGTATCAGAGCTGCTATTCTCACTCTGTCCCCCTTTGCTTGACAAAAGCTTGGTAAATATCTTCTTGGACATGAGTAACCCTTTAACCTTACTAGCTGCAGCTTTATCAATTGTACTCTTATCATCATTTCCATTTCTCGCACTTCCTCTACCCCCCAGCCTTAAGGAAGCAAGCTCTCCCTTAAGGGCCTTGAGCTCCTCAGCTGTTGGGACAGCATCCCAATCCTCCTCCGTGTTGGTTGTTGCAGATCTTGAGCTCCCATGGGACCCATCATTCTCCTGTGGAAGTGACGTCCTGACACTCCCAGAGAGTTCAGACGTGCTGCCACCAGCAGATGTGGCAGCCCTGACCTGCTCAAAGAAGAGGACCTGCACAACTACCCTCAGGGGGAGTCTCTCATTTTGCACAGCATGCATGCAAGCATCCACTGATAGTTTCTTGCAGTCCATCAACCTGCATATCTTCTTCCTGTCACTTTTGCTTATCGTTGGGTGCTCCTGTGCCAATAAACCAGTTTAAAAGGCGAATTAGCATACCACAGGCGGTAATATAGATACAATAGATGCATCTTGAACTTTTTGGGATGATACCTATTAAAAAAAAATGTGACTCATGATTTTGATGGTCGAGTGACTATTTACCTCCCTACCACTGCAACAGATGTGTGGCAAACATGAGGGATTTCCCCAGCTGCATCAGATCTTAAACATCCTATTTATTTGTTTCCTTTTGCAGTAAAAACAAGTGCGAGAAATATTAAGGAGGCTGGAAGAAACAGATGGTTTTTTCTGGTCAAGACCCAGGCATCTTAGCATGTACATGTACAATTTTACATCCAAAAGAGGCCAGTGTAAGCCAAAAACTTATAAAATAAAAAAAGAGGCAGTCTAAGCAGACAAAAGGTAGGACAACAACAAAAGAACATAGATTTATCCCTGTTAGAAGGGTCAATGAAGTCTTCCAGCAATAAACCAAACATGTGACAACAGTACTTGTACTGGCATGTAATGTAGCAAGTGTTTTTTGTTTGAGTCTACCACCTTTAAGAAAATTGTTCAAGCCTATTGCCAAACACATATCCTTTTCGATAGACAGAGATCTTTAGTGAAGATCAAGAACAATTACTAATGCAAATTCTAAAATTTCAGAACGTTTACCTTGAGATACATATCAATGGCACGGTAAAGTCCATCATGGGATGGCCTTGAGAAGCCTGATACCATTTCAGCAAGATCCATGAACTTTGACAGAGGAAGATTGGGATCACGTGAAATTTCTGCAAGATAGCCATCAACAAGCTTTGCTACTGCCAGCTTAGAAGTTTCAGACACAGACCCTACACTTCTAATATCCTGAAGTCCTTCAGCTAATGGAAGTTCAGTGCAAGCACTCCGCTCCTGCATGACAAACTCCGCCACTATGTTTTGTATTATACCAACATCATAAACAGTTGTTTCTCCTGATGGTGCCCAAATCAAAAGATCAGGCACCAAGGCCTCCTCTAGCTGTTGGCCTATTCTCCTCACCAGCTCTCTCCTCCCCATTTCCCCAGAATCCAGAGAGATCAGTGCTCTTAGGAGCTTGAGCATGAAACTACAGGAGACGCTTCCTTTCTCAGTGGGCAACAGCCAGACAATGGTCTCCACCAAAGATCGGTTCTTTATGAGGTCACCCCCTTGGATCACACCTTTGCTGAAACCTGGTAACCTTCTCAGTGCATATGCTTTGAGAGCTTCCCCAATTATATCACTAGACATTTTTCCTTTTGTTTTGATAGTCACTATAACACGCTTGTAGAAATCGATTTCAAGCTCACAAAGGTCCTCAACCCACCAGTCTTTTGGCACTGTTTGAAGTTTCCTAATACCATTCCAGTGAGGATCGGTCCCATTTTCTGATGGGAGCTTCTTACGGTTATAGGTGTAGGACCACTCAACTTTGGAAGTGTCAATTAAAGCCTTAGAAGCTATGGAATCAATGCAGTGGCTGACCACCTTCAGTTCCTCACACCAGGGTAGAAGAGATTTTGTGGTCTGAAGAGCTATGATTGAATCCTTCCAGCTGCGGAAGATGCTGGAGGTTAGAAAGACATCTATCTTATAGATTAAGTTCCCTTTCTCTATAGTTTCATACATCTCCAGGTATTCTGCCGCACAACGACCCGCAACCACATTGTAAGCATTAAGAGTGACGGTCATACCATAACAGAATTTGGCACATACTTCAAAAGCAACAGGTCCACCAGGAATGTCAGGAATGTGGATTTCGTCAGTGTTGTCCTCATTTGTGGTTGATACCAACTTCTGCAAGCGGGCACTCTTGGACAATAGTGGAAACTACAGGGAAATTTTTTCATTGTGTTAGATATATCAGACATAGATCAAGTTAAATGGGCCAATAAGAAATACTGACATGATGCAGTGAACAAGCCAGATCAAAATGTTCTAACTGAAACCCAAATTTCAAGAGTGCTAGTATGAGAGCATTACAGTAATATGGTTGGCTTCATTCTCACAGCCCCAGCAATATTGGCAGTATGATAAACATTGCTAGAACCTAGGGCGGGCTTGGGAAGAGCAATTGTTAAAATTTGAATGGGTCCAACCAGATGGCCCAGTATTGATACTACAAGTTCTTCAAGCTGGGTACTTTACTTGCACCCCTACAGCTTTGATACTACAAAGTATAAACACCACATGATGCACATTTTTGTATGTGCAAATGAATAAAATTTAAAAACCAAAAAAGAAAAAGAACAAAATGTCAAAATAGAAGTTTCATACAAATTGGCATTCATGGTTAGAGAGCGGCCCTCCCACTTGGGCAGTGAAGTACTGATAATGAGCACACCCCCTTCTATAAATTGGGCATACCCCTTTTCATAAACCGGGCACACACCATAGAGAATACGGCATATAATCATGATTATAATGATAAATATGTATGCACGTGGAGTGCTTTACTTTGTATTTTAATTAACAATTAGCGGTATGCCCCTCTTATCAAGAATGGGATGCTCCCAAATCACACTGCCCGTCCTTTCACTTGTTTGGAGTTAGCCAAAGAAACAAAAATATTTCCAGACTGGAAATTTTTGCTGTTCTTTCTGGAAACTGGGAATCTCAAGGCACATTAGAAAGTTCATGGCATCTTAGTTCTTGGATCCATTGCTGCTGTAATTGGAGAGTTGCCATGGTGCCTCAACTTTGTGGATATGCATGTCTCTATGTCTAGATTATAGAATTGTACCTTATGTAGATAAAACTTCACATCACCCACATTAACAATGATGTCAGTTGCCAACTCAGTTGCAACATACCTGCAAATAGAAACGTCCTAATCATGCCTCGGTAAAATAGATAAAAACTGGCAAATCTATTCATCGTTTAATGGTTCTAATTTCCAAATATGTCTGAAAGAAACTTCTAGCATATGTAGATCTAGATATAGATATAGATATAGATATATCTAGATCTAGATCTAGATATAGATCTAGCATATGTAGAATGTCTAATAACTAAACAGAACAATTGGTGAATGCCTGGACTCAAGCATTCTTGAGGGAACTTCCTAAAAACAAAGCAAAAAATTCAACTTGGTGTTTGCATGAAAAGTTGAACTGAAATATTACAAGGGTAAAAGAGGAGACATCGCAGGACATTCTGGAGCTATGCTTCAAATGAAGAGCAATTTAGTAAGATAGCAAGAATCCCAAGCATACAATTTCCAGTCTACCTAGCACCTTCCAAATGGAAAGGAGTGCAAGGCAGATAAACCATGATAGTTGCATGATATATTTCAGGCAAAAATGAAATATTAAAGAATGATTTCTACATGAAGGAATTTTACATTTCCTAAGAGTTTCAAGCATTTGAGTTGAAGTATCATAATCCATATTGGTATGTTATGCCTGTGCCATTTGATGGACAAGGGGGAAAACATTCAACATTTGAACCAATAGACAGTGAAAAATGGCTACCATGTAAAAGATCAGTTTGTAAGGTTGATCAGAGTGAAAGGAAAGAAGCTAGAAACGGAAAAAGACATTGATCAGAGACAATTGGTGAAAGTAGAAGAGATGAAAAAGAAGAACACAAACAAGGGGCTTTGAGGTTGAAGATAGCCAAGCAACTAGGAATGAGGCAAATTGAGGTTGAAGGGGATTCCAAGGTGATCATCTCTTGGGCTAATAACAATAGAACTACTCCGTGGACCTTCAAACAAGTGATAAGGGAAGTGGAAGAGGTTGCAAGGGAGATAGAAGCAGAATTCAAATGGGTTAGAAAGGAGTGCAAATGGGCTAGTTGATTATCTTGCTAAACAAGGGGCTTTGAGGCAACAACTGTTTTGGGCTGCATTGTAGAAGGGACAGAATTATGTATTCGTGTGGGACTTCTTGTTCCATACACATCATTGAAAAACTTCTTAAATCTAATTTCAAATAAAAGTTTCCTTTGATGATCAAAAAAAAAAAAAAAAGTACACGAACTTGCAAGTTGCAACAAGGAAAAGTGGGAAACTTAGATGGGTAATGTGTAAAAAGTAGAATTTCTTGGTCAAGAATGAGGAGATTAAGGAACAGAATCCTGTTCATCACAACTTAAAATCTCTAGGCTAACTATAAAAAAGAAAAATGTTAGATATAACATAGGCAGAAAGAAAAACTAGGAAGCAAATTATTGTAACTAGATCAATAGTATAAGTAGAACAACCAACCAATCAACTTGGAATTTTGAGTGTCCACACTCCCACAATTGCAAAAGTCCAACAATAAGAAAGGCTGTGTTGACATCAAACTAGTCATGTATCAAATAGAAAATGGTGAAATACTCCGTTAAATCATGGCTTAACAAGTTGGCAAAACTCCCAGATTTTATCTAATTATAAGCATAAGATATCAAGTTTAACAAGAGGGAGACTTATTTACAGGTTTCTCCATATGAAAGGGAAATTTACTGCCTTTTCTAAATGGATAAAGAATAACTCTTGAATCTGTAATGTAATAGTGTTTTTTTTTTTTCAAATATTCAAAATGTCACCATCAACATCAAAGATCAATTCCTCTTCTGCAGTTTTGTCCCATTTTACCTCTAACGATTTTTCATTGATACTTCACCTCTTAAGTCTACTCCCTTTCTCTTTTCTTGATAACCAACAAAGATATAAAAGAAAATATTAAAAAAAAAGAGTGAAAGATAAGAACACAGAACGCACCCCTAAAATCAAAGGCAGATGAATAAGAGAAATCCTAAAACAAGCTTTTAAACAACTTCAGCCTCTTGAATCTATTATTCAAAAAAACTGGTAATAAATTATAATGGCAATCTACCATAGACTATAAATAATACCATCAAAGCTGATAAAAGAAGAGGACGTGGTGTGAGAAGCATATGAAGAAAAACCATATATTAGACTATTATCCTAAAGAATGAAAAGTTGGGAGCATTTATGCATAAGACATGAAGGAGACCACTCTATCTGCCAAGATCCCGATCCCATGCTTCATTAACTTAGCAGTTTTACACAAAGCAAAACACTTGGCTAAAGAAGAAAACAAGAAAAGCATTTTCTAGACTCCATAAGTTACTTTACCAAAGAGGTTGGATTTTTCACAATTGAAGCTGTAGTCTTACAAGGGTTCAACATTAAGCATGCAAATCTTTCACTTTACTCAAGATGTCAACATATTTATAAGAATCACCAAGGACCATGACTTTTTACCTATGCCAGATTTAACCTTCCCCTAGAAGTTGAATGGCATCAAGTCCATTTCCCAGGAAAGAGAAAAAAAAAAAAAAAAAGATAGGAAAAAACGATTCAGCGATGTTGCTCAATACTAAGACAAGAAAAGTTAGAAGCAACATACATGCAGATCCAAGACAAATCAAAAGTTTGAAAGGGGAAAACACAGTAACAACATATTTCAGAACTGTACAACATAATTAGATAATCATGCATGAAAGCCAATAAACTACGATATATACTTGGACCCTGCACATCCATCAGCATTAGCAATAGGGGCAGTGACAACCCCTTCTAAAACTCCCTGGAAAAAACATCCCACACCAAAACTAAAAGTCAAGATAACTCAACAGCACAGAAAGAATCACAACTATCATCAAGAGGCATATGCTTTTTTTATATAAAATATAGAGGCATAAGGCATATATGATTAAAGGAATTAACTTTAATACTCATAATTCTTAAATGACCAGTATTAAGTGTCAAATGGTGGCAAATAGGAATCCATATTTGAGTGATTGGTTGGAAGGTGAATAAAGATACAAGATTGTGAGAAGGAAACTATAATAGGCAGAAAAACAGAGGATGCAATACCAACAGTATCACTCTCTGGTATAATGTGCCAATTTATCTAAAAGAAAATCAAAATAAGTACAAAAAAATTATGATTAATAAAAGCAACATCAACTTTAAATTCATTAAAAAAACCAATAATTTCCTAGCCAAGATAACTTTTCTTTTCCTTATCAAAAAGGTAAGCTGGTCATAATATCACAAATATCACCAAGTAAAACAAGGAACCCTTGGTGACACTTCTTACTACCAAGGAAACTACAAGGAAAATGATCCAATGGTACTTGCCCTCATGTAAGACCATCTCCTGAAACCATATGACTGGGTCCCAGGCTAATTGGTGGGATCTACCATGCATTCCAATCTAATGGTTTCAAAGGACAGCCTCCTGTAGTGGCATGGAATTACAACCCACATTAATATAATAAAAAGAACGCAATGGAAATACTTATCATCAACAATAGGCAACACTAGAAACTTTTCCAAGGCAACTAACTTTCTTAAGGTTTTTTTTTTTACTAAATACTTGTTATCAACAATAAGTAACATAAACTTTCGTAAGTTTAGCATAAAGCGTAGACATCTCTAGAATAACAAGACCAATATCAGAACAAGATAAATTCCCCTTTTTTTCAAAGCAGCATAGCCAACGAAGAGAAGGCCACTTCCTAAAAGTTTGCCAATGGCCCCACCGAGGAAAAAAGAATAGAAGTCTTTTTATGAATGACACAAAGTAAAGTTTCTGCTATCCAAGGCTTAGTGAACACTTGGAGATTTTACACCAACACAAAACAATCAAAAAGCGGAGGTACCTAATTTGCCCCCCAAACCCTAATTAAAGAACATAACCAAATTGAAGAGCCAAAAATATACATTGTGTAACAAGGGTCATCTGGAACTTACCAGGGCATAAACCCAAGGAAAACCCCAGACGTTAAAAAAGCCAATAGTAGAGATTCCAAAACATCCACAAAGAGTCAAAGAAGAAGAAACAAATACACTAAAGGAAATTGGAAAAAGAAGATGTCATAAAAAGGATCCAAAAGATCTCACCTAACGTTGTTCCCTTCAGTTTGAAAAGAATCTGGCTTTGATCCAAGTTTCATAAACTTCATCTTGGCAATAAGAAAACTTGATGCAGGTTATACTATGAGATACCAAAGCAATCCCTTTCACGGTTCTTAAGTAACTAAACCACCTACACCGTCGCCCATCCGAAGAAGGAAAAGAAAAAAATACGCAAGACCAGAAATGAAAAAGAAAAAAAAAAAAAGGCAGGTATGAAGACTGGACTTGTGAGCTTTGACCGACTCTTGGCTTCAGGGGGAGGAAGCATAGGGGAAGGAAGGATATATTCTTATTGTTGGGATGGAATCTTATCTCATGAACCGATGAAGGAATAATATGATAGAGAGGAAGAGTAAATGAAGTCTGTACTTTTTTAAGACGCGTTTCTCTTCAATAGCAAGAGACCCAAAGAAGAGATTGTTTCCTTTGTCGACGGCAGAGCCCACGGACCCCGGGCGCCAACGGTCAGCTCAGGAGACACTGCCAACAGACTCTCAACACTAAATAATTCTCAAACCAGAGACTCCCACAAGCACAAAACTGACACCACCGTCCCTCCCTCATTTGTTTATATACCTTATGATTCTCCTTTCTTTCATTTTTTTTCCAACAACCACTTAAAGCATCAACAAGAAAAGATCCACAACCAACGAAACCTCTTTTTTTTATCTGAAATCAAGCTCCAGGCCCTAGAACCCAATCCACATTCGTTTTAATTTTCTTTCACGACTGTTCCTTCGTTGAGAACGAACCTACAACGTAAGACAGCAACTCGGCATCAGTTGAAGAAACGAGAGAAACGGTAGACAAATAAGCACTCTCTTCTTTCACAACATATTGGGAATAAAATGAGAATAAAAAAAAAAAGGATCCAAAGAGGGGAAAATGCCAAGTTACATATATTAAATAGAGAAACAATAGTACCAACTAAATCTTTTTTAAACTTAAGTAATTGAACATGGGGCGGAAATTTTGCGACAACCCCCATGGACATTAACTCTCAGAGTCAGAGATGATGAAACAGGAGGCAACCACCCAAATAGCAAATGAAGAAGAACGATATACTTGGGTCAAATAAAACACTAAAATAGCATTAGACAAAACCAACTTGCGATCAGCTCAGAAAAATAGCATATAGAAGTATAGAACTATTTCCTTGTCGTCCGAATTGCTACGTCTAGCCAGATCTAGAACAAAACCCAGATGAAACGAAGGAAATGACCATTACTAGTTCTGGAAAACAGGTAGGGAGTCGGGACTAAAAAACAAATAATTATAATAAAAGATGACAATAAACCCAAAAAAAAGAGAAAGAAAATTAGAGAGAGAGAGAGAGTTCACCTTCAAAGTAGAGCAACGAGGGCCGGGTAGTTTGGCAAGGCTCTGTCCAGAGCATCATATCTGGCAGAGCAAAACCATCAACCAGTCGGTCAACACTAAAAAACACTCGTTCAAAATGACGAACAGTTTCTCATTTTTGCCTTCCAATCCAACAACACAAACTAAACAAAAAGCCAACCTGAGAATGTTCAGTCTCGTTAGAATCAGCACCGCCTTCACCGTCCCATCTCTCTCTTTCTCTCTCTCTCTTAAACACATTTTCCCTTTTTCCCAAAAATAATAAAAAAGAAAAACATCGACATTCGATCTCCCAGAATAAAATAAATAAAATCTCTATTTTCTGTATCTTCTTCAATAACAATAGCTAAATTTTGTACCCTTAGTGATTTAGCTTCTGGTGATTCTGTATGGCGTACTACCCCGTCTTGTGTAGAACTTTTTATTTCTATAAAAAAACAACAATAACTAATTAAAAATATAAATTTGCTCCTCTTTTTTATTTCCCCTCAAGCCTCAGCTACCCAGAAAAAGTCGAAGAGCTTGATTCAGTTGATAACAGTTAAGAAGAGTATTTTGAGGAGACCATTACCTCTCCCACCTCTGCACCTCCCTCTCTCTCTCTCTCTTCACCGTAATGCACGCCAAGTCTGACACTCTCAGCTTTGCTGCTCCCCTTAACGCAGACTCATCGAAAAAATTACCCCCTCAGTCGACCCCTAATTTACGAAATTACCCCTGCGCACCCGAAAACGACCCGTCTCTATGTCTCTCGTACTTTAATAATCATGGTATCCAACTGAAAATCCCATCTTTTTTTTCTATTTTATTTCTTTAATCTAATTAATTTTATTCCACAATCCACATGCACGTCGTTATTGGTCAAATAAAACATAATAAAAAGAAAAGAAAAAGCTGCGCCGTTGATTTGTTTCTCTGATTTATTCTCTTTCATCAAATCAAACCAAAGAAAATAAATTAGAAAAATAAAAGAAAGTGATAAAATAAAAGGAGAAAATATATGAAGGATGAATCTAGAGGTATGGGCCTTGACTGTGGACGTCACATGCCACACTCACAACTCCGCAGCTTAATTCGCTCATCATCACTATTAATAAAAACTCAACTCACTAAACTCTACTAAAGCAAGTGTTTGTGAGCGTGATTTTTATTTAATTATTAATTATTCCGCCTAACATGCTTGAGATTGTTTATTGATAAAAAATTATTATCCCATGTGAAGCTAATGCATTGAGGTACGGTATACAGAATCTCAATTGATGCATTTGATCRTGTTGTTTTCAGTGATACGTCACCTCACATAGGACTGACTATATGCATGTATTAATGGAACCCCAGTTCCTCAAATGGATTGGATCACATATGAACTGATCCAAATGCAACCCATGTTGGATCCATGATTCAAACATCCCCTGGGTTCTGCTGGTTTATCCTTATACTTTGCTATTATGTTTTATGTGATAGAGGGAGGAATTCAACCTTTATTGTTGTTGTTGGCGTTTCTTCACATCTTGACATCGTTTATAGAGATCACCGTGTTCAATCACTCCTTTTTTTTTTTATCTAATAGTTTTATTGTTTGAGCAAGTAAATTTCTTGATTCATATTCTAATTCACACTTCACATAAACTTTTTTTTTTTTAATTTCTAATCATTCCACCATATCGATGCATTTATTGGCTTCCGAACGTATTTTAGAGCTTGGTTCAATACACATAACACAAACCCGTTTAAGATCCCCACCTCCCACCAAGAAATGGTAAATGATCTACTTCTTTTCACTAGACTAGACTTTGGACCTTAAAAAGGGCATGAAAAATCCACGGCAGTGGAAAGTACAACCTAACTTAAAAAGGTAGCCCGCGAATAATTCAATTAATTGTGATCCCCAGCCCCTTTTGTTTATTATTAAAATTAAAATAAAAAGAAATAAAGAAAGTCAAGAGTCACCTTCGTTTGCTCCCACAATGATGAATATTTCTTCAATTCTGGTGGGGTTGGGGCATGGCCTAGTGGACAAATTGTGGCCACATGCAAATTTTGCTCTCCTCCCAATATCACCAAAATCCAACATAATTCAGTATCATACCAAGTATATGCATGTATTAAATTAAAACAAACCTAGATTTTATCATAAGTCTTTAACCTTTTTAGATAGAAGACACGTATTTGTTTAATGGAGGAGGTGATGAATCCTTATTTTGTTCACGTTTTCTAGATTTCAGATGTGGCCCACCCTGTTTCCTTCAGTTTCCTTAATCTAATAGCTTGCCCACCTGGTGCTGACTGTACCCACCACCCACTGAGGAAGCTTAGAAGAAGAATCATTCTAGAGAGAAGTATATGAATCCACTATAGAAGAAGAAGATGATGATGGTTGGCTCAAACTACTCGAAGGGYTAAGTCAGTCCTCAATGCCCATGCCCATGCCCATCATATATAACCTAGATTCATAGCCAAGGAGGAGGACTTTATCATCACCAAAGGGTCTGGACTTGGGTCTAGAAAGGCATATGTCGCCTTCCAGAGAAGCTCGGGGGGGCCTATCTCTATGTCTAACACTAACAGTAGTAGTCTTTTAAGTTAGGAGCTTTAGAATCTGAATAGTACGCTACACCACACAGCCTTGTTGATTTGTGGCTTTCGTGGGGCATATTTGCCACTTGAACTAAAGAAACCAGGTCCCTACAGTGTGCGCGTTTAGGTGTGCGCCGTGTCCCATATGTTTGGCCTCTATCAGCATTAATTGACCCACCACATGTGCCTCTGCTCTCTCTCTCTCTCTCTATTTGTTTTTGTTTCCCTCATATCTATTTCTCTATCTATTGTCTCTGTGTGCTTGTTTTCTTTCTCCATGGCCATGAGATAATCACAATACTACCTCCCAAATTCATATCTTGGAAAGAGGGGAAAAAAAAAAAAGTCCCTGAAATTGAGGAGCGATACTAGAGCTCTTCTATAAATCTGCAAATAGCTCATTAATGTCTGCCATGGATCATGTTACAGGACAGAAAGAGGGAGACATGAACTCGTGGGAGACAATGGAACAATATCAGACAAAGAGTATCCAAATTGGCAATACTAAAAAGTACAGGATTCTCACATGAATTCTGTTTGCTTTTATATATATTTAACCAGTCACTATATTGTGATTAGAGATTGCAATCTTTCCATAAATTAAAGCATCCCAAAGTTCCAAACTAAAGAAAATTATGAATGGAAAGCAGGATTTTACGACTAACTTTAATTAGTAGTACATCACCGGCCAAACAAAGACAGGTTGAGTTGTCGCACATGGCCACCCTAAGTTGTTTCAATTCGATCGGTCCAGTAAATGCAGTGACGAAGCTGTGTAAGGTGGCCTAAGCAACTTAACTACAAATTGACTGACGATCAACATGATGATCCGAACAATATTGGATGCCCTCTGTCCTGTAACTGATGAGATTACTGGTTATTTTCAATTAACACACATATATGGTCGGTTAAAAGCAACGTATACAAATGCATGCGATTTATTCTTCACTCTTCAATATTAGTTTATCAACTACGGCATCGATCAGTGTCAACTTTCAACAGTTACGTCCATCTAGCAGCTGTGTGACAGTGTCAACTTGATATAAATTAGATAGAATCAGTGTACGTACGTACATATCATATGAGATGAGAGCAAAACAGAACAAACTCTTCTTATTACTACTTAATTTGTGTGGAAGATAAAAATGGTTGATTCGTGATCCAAAACTAGCCTCTCATACACGAAAATTCTCTGCCCAAGTCCACTAGAGATAGCAAATATACATTAATTAAATTGCGGATGAATTTTAACCTTTCTACTTATATACTTACCCCAATGAATGAAATCCCATCATGTTTTTTTTTTTTCTTTTTTTCTTTTTAATTTAGAGGGAAATAGCAGTATTGCCAAACCATGTCTTTTATGCATAAAATGGCATTCCTTTTCTGCGTAAAAGAAAAAAATAAATAAGACTGAACATGAGACAGAAATCATGTTTTGGCTATATATATCGTTGCATTTGCATTTTAAATGGTCCCATGTTTGCATTTTTTCTGTGATAATTTAATTTCTGTGTCCTTCGAATCATGTGCATGGTATCAGATTCTCACTAATAATTAAGCACTAATATTACATACATCCTCGATTCCAATTGTGTAGGCTATACTGTGTCTTCTCACAACATAAACGTTTCAAATATTTAATGAATGGTATCTGTAACAATGTTTTCGAAACCGGACCAGACGGTCAGACTGGAAAAACCAGTAACCAGTCACTTGGCCGGTTCTCTTTTACCCCAAAAGTCATTGATTTGGTCAGTGAACCGCTGACCCGGGAATAATTTTTTGCTGTTTTTGGATTTTTTTTTTTGTCAGAAAAGACTGTTTGTTTGGACCAGACAGTCAGACTGTTCAACCCAGGAACCAGACCCAGAATGATTCTCTGTCCGGTCTGGTTTTTAAAAACCTTGATCTGTAATACCTTTCTTTTACTACCTAGATTGCTGATTACCTAATTTCATTTATCATTTACATGTGTGTGTTTGAACACAAATTAACATATTAAGAAAAAACTTCTCTCAATATCTTTTTGTTGATCTGCAATCATTGATTTAGGTTTTCATTATGTTTTAAATCCCATGAAACTAAGGTTTCTATGAAAAATAAATGCCAAAAAAGAATACATCCAAGAAATAAATGATGAGTAACCAAAAATAATCATGATGACATGATCAYATTCGAGTTCAAATCAGTCCCTCACAAGATTGCCCTCCACAATGTCCCACAGCACATATCTACCGTGTATTGGGAACATTTCCCGATGACGACATCATCATTTTTGGTATTATCATTGAAAGATGTTCTCAATACATAACCGGGATGTACTGTGGGACGTTGTGGGGGCAATCTTGTGAGAGGTTGATTTGATCTCATCATATTCATGCATAATATATTTCTGAAAGCTTCTGCAAATAATTAAGTCGAGTTGACAACATGGCATCTAGCCACACGTCAGGAACATCTCCCATACTATGTTAGCATGCTTTGAAATTTGCATCAAAAATCCACAGGCCACAGCACATTCCAATCATGTATTGAGAACAAGTTTTCATAACAAATACAGGAGATATTCCTAATACACGCCGAGATGTATATGTGAGAAGCTCTGCGGGGCTTGAGTTTTAAAAGATTGATGTTTTTTTAATAGGTTATCTAAACATCCAAGGGTAATCTTACGAACATCCAACCTATTACAACTTTGCAATGCCTTTCTAAAATCACCCTTTCCAAGCCTAAAGCAACAACTGAGAATTTAATTGGTCTTAAAATTTTCAAAGTATCTCACCATTAAAACACTCTATTCAAACCTGATAGGGTGGGATTACCAAATGATCAGAAGAATATCCATCAAATGTTGAACCTAATGAAACCACTCTATAGACCTTCCACACATGGGCTGCCCACAGATTATGAGGAGCATGCATGCATGATGGCTAATTACCACAAATTGCCATCCTCTAAGAATTGCATCCATCGAAACACCCTTGA